GTTGAAGTATTTATTTCCCTTTTATCACAGTCTATATCAGCAAATAATAGTATGAACAAAACGAATCATTATAGTTGTGCTAATTAGAATGTAGAAGTGAAAATGGTTTGCTTGTTGTTTACTACAAAGATGCACATCGGGTTAAAACCCTGAATCTTAACGATATAAGCCCTCTTGTTTACCTTCTAAGCCTTAGGGAGGTGGACAGAAGAAGAAGGAGAAAATTATAGCTAAATTAACTTTGAGAGACTTCTGAATTTTACTTTAAGATATTTAATTTTCAATATTTTTGTCGAAACTTTAAATGTTGAATGAAAATAGTTCTTTTTTCTTTTAAAGTATTTTATTATGCAATGTTTTAAAGAAAATAATGTCTTTTACTTTGCATTCAACTTTAGATATAATTTGAAAAAAAATTATTTTATGTCAATCTCAGTTTTAAGTGGATTGTTTAGCTATTTTTCTCAACTACTGTGTACAGTATAAAACTTTGCAACCCAAAAAAGTTTTAAAGATACCAGAAACTTTAAACATACGGAATATACCATAAATGCAGATTTCAAACATACGGAATAGACCATAAATGCAGACTTCAAACATACAAAATAGACCATAAATGCAAGTAAGTAGCAGAGAAGAAAAAAGAAGCTCATGTATTTGTCTAAATGTTGTTGGATAGACCAAATTTCATCTGTAGAAAAATAAAATAATGCTTGTGCAGAATAGGTCTAAGTCATAGGTTCACCTGTTCTCTTTTTTAGAATAGAATAACATAAAAAATATAACTTTCGAGCTACAAATTATCTTGCTGATAAGATCACATCAACGTTGTACATGTAAGTCAAGCAAAACTTTGCTCTTTTTCTTAAGACCAAGTGAGATAGATCAGTTCTGAAGGACTCCTCATTTAGACTGTATAAGCTTCAGAAGACTGAATATATATTAGTTAGAAGTTCGTGATTTAAGCCTTTCTATCTCAAAAGCCTTTAAAACTGTGTTGGAGTAACGCACATCTAACACTGATACCTACAATTTGAATGTGAATTAAGCATATTAAACCAAATGTGTTGGAGTAACGCACATCTAAGACTGATACCTACAATTTGAATGTGAATTAAGCATATTAGATCAACTGTTCAGATCTAACAGTTTGTTTGTTTGAAAACTTTGCGTAGAGCTACATAAGGGCTACCTGGTCGTAACCGTTACTTACATCTTAAGTTATTATTAAAGTCAGTGTGGTTATCTTTAACACTTATGACCACTCAAATCCAGGCAATAAATTAGAAATAGTCTTCTCGGTCAAATGTAATTTTGCTTTATCAAAAAGTAACGATTAGTTCGTTTTAAACACCAAGTGCATTTCAATATCCAGTTTCTAATACACCTAACTGCTTAATTATGTAGTCGATTTTATTCTGTATTGTTTGCATTAAAAGCACGTTGTTTACAAAAACGGGCCTTTTCGTTTGCATCGCCTGTACAAAATAACTATTGCATATCACAAAATATATTATACTAGGCATAACTGAATAAATTAACGCGTATACACAAACACATATATGTAAAGCATTAATTTTAACTGCCCTCTTTCGTTTATTTATACTACGTAGTTTTTATTTTCTCTAAAGGAATGAAAACTATGGCAGAGTGGTATTCGGACTCGCGAGACCGCTTGAAAGAAACAATATCTAGCCAACAAAGCTTCCAAGTTTATCGAACGCTTTAACCCACAGTTTTCACATCATTGGTTAATGAGGACAACGTTTTTGCAGGATACGTGAGTTGTACTAATTATACAGTATTTCCGCAGAAAATATGAGTTTTGCTAATTGGATAGTATTTTGGCAGGATACTTGAGTTGTGGTACTTGGACAATATTTTGGCAGGATACTTGAGTTGTAGTAATTGGACAGTATTTTGGCAGGATATTTGAGTTGTAGTAATTGGACAGTGTTTCGGCAGGAAATTTGAGTTTTGCTAATTGGACAGTATTTTGGTTGAAGATTTGAGTTATGCTATTGGACAGTATTTTGGCAGGATACTTGAATTGTGCTAATTGGACAGTATTTTGACAGGATACTTGAGTTGTGGTTATTGGACAGTATTTTGTCAGGATACTTGAATTGTGCTAATTGGACAGAATTTTATCAGGATACTTGAATTGTGGTTATTGGACAGTATTTTGACAGGATAGTTGAATTGTGCTAATTGGACAGAATTTTGGCAGGATACTTGAATTGTGCTAATTGGACAGTATTTTGTCAGGATACTTGAGTTGTGGTCATTGGACAGTATTTTGGCAGGATATTTGAATTGTGGTAATTGGACAGAATTTTGGTAGGATACTTGAATTGTGCTAATTAGACAGTATTTTGGCAAGATACTTCAGTTGTGCTAATTGGCTTTCAAAATCCAAAATCTTTTTATTGCCACTATTTTTTCTGAAGTGCCAGATTAGGTTTTGAAGAGTAGATACGTTCAAGAGTTATCATGAGTTTTGTAAAGCCCAGTGTAAATCCCAAGATAACCAGAACTGGTGTAAATAAAATTGATGATCAGCTGAAAGCTACAAAAGCGTTGCCTAAAGAAAAAAATACTTTTTTGAATATATAATTATATAATGTTAAGCTTGTGGGCTGTTGAGATGGCCAAAAGGTGGGACGAATAATTTAAAACACGTGTGTTAAAAACTTATAAACACGTAGGCAAAATACAATCCTCTGAAAAGGCTTTGTAATTTATTGTAATGTTTAATACGTTAAAATATGTAAAAAGCGAATAATTCGATGCTTGCACTAGTCGCAATATATATTTTAGTGCATTTAATACAGCAGCTACGAACAGCGATATATACAATATCATTCACATTAATTTCTTCCAAGAAGCTTAGTGTACATACACAATAAATTCTTATTTTTTACTGTGTATTTTTCAGTTGCACCATGAAACCAAAGTCTGAGAAATTTTATCAATGCAAATAACATAATACATTAATAGTTTTTATTTTATCTCTAAACAGCATTAAAAAACTATTACTGATTATAGCATTAAACGGAAAAATAACTATCACATACGTTCTTATTCCAGTAAAGTTTCCTGACATTTGAGGTGTGACTGTGAAATCGATCTGGTTATTTGAACCTATTCTAACTATATAACTCTGGCGTACATTCATGCAATGGTATCAGACACTATTAAAAAAAAAACATTATTTTTTGGGATGAATACAATTTACATAACCTAGAGATCTTGATCCTTGAATGTGATCAGATATTGTCCAGATTTAACATATGAGTTTCATATCTCTAACCATTCAAATATTTAGTTGCTGTCAACACAGACAAATAAACTGTCGTACGCGAGCAATCGCTTTATCTTTTAGTAAATCATATTTTAATACAATTGGAAATTACACTCATCTCTCATTCAAAAACAATGTTTTGAGCTTGCCTGAGCCTACGGTGGAATACATTATTCCCTGTAGTTCCTCCTCAAATGTTTGCTTGTTCGCTGTTAAGCACTTCACAACGAGTTGTCTATGGGGTACCCACTGCAACTATCAAATTCCGAGTTTAAATATTACAAGCCCATTAACCCTTAAGCTTACTGACAGACCACCGAAAGGGGCGTGTGTCTTAACTGAGCTAAACATAGAAAAAATATTCATGAACAACAAGAAAAGAAAATCCTATTTCGAACACTTTTTTTTCACAAAATGTATGGTGAGAGAAAAAATTTCCCAGAATGACGAAAAGAAACATAAATCAACAGGTCTAAAAACATTAATATGCTGAAAGTTTTTGAGAAATTAGTTATTAGTTTGCTGTTGTATTACTATACATTTCTTTGGAGCTTTCCGACACCAGCTTTCAAACAATTCTAAATGAAATGTTGAAGTCCGTTCCTTTTTCTTTTAAATATAATATATTTTAATTCGTATAACGAAAGTATTTTAAAAGATATTAGACTTTAAAAAAAAGGAACGAGTCTGACACGTGCATATTTATTACAACTATATGTTAATTTTAAATGCACATTTTCAGTTACAAGTTTAGATCCGGCATAGCCAGGTGGTTAGGGCGCTCGACTCGCAATCTACGGGTCGCGAGTTCGAATCCCCGTCCCACCAAACATGCTTGCCCTTTCAGCCGTGGGGGCGTTATAATGTGACGGTCAATCCCACTATTCGTTGGTAAAAGAGTACTCCAAGAGTTGGCGGTGGGTGATGATGACTAGCTACCTTCCCTCTAGTCTTACACTGCTAAATTAGGGACGGCTAGCGCAGATAGCCCTCGTGTAGCTTTGCGCGAAATCCACAACAAACAAACAAACAAGCAGGTTAGGCCTTCATCTTTAAATATATTTCTGGGTAATTGATCGACAGACTAAAGATAAAATCCTAGTTTATTTCTTTGCATTGAGTGTAGTTTCAGATAATGAACATTTTATAAAATAAATTTTAAAGAAGTAACTTTAATTCTTATCCTGGTTTTACTATCTCATTTTGAAACTTGTTCTGATGCCAGTAATATTTCAGATAATCTACACACTCTACTGGCCCGTTGTGCAAGCGCTGTGTTTCTGTTACTCGGCATATGAATACACAAGTTGGTCCACGTCTTGAAGAAAGTGGAACTGTTCTGGAAGCGTCGAGAACTACGACGGGGAAAGAAAGATCACGTAGAAAAATAATGACAAATCAGTCCGGTTTAAATACGACAGAGCTACAGCGACCCAGGCTGAGAGACCGTTGTTGGTTTAAAGGTAAAAGAGGCAGGGACAACAACTCTGAAGAATGAGCTGAAGAAGAACTTTAAAACAATTTGGTGCTGAGACGACACCCATGGAGTACTTGGTTTGAAGCTGTGTGATTGGTGTAGCCTTCTTACCACGCCTGCTCAGGTAGTGAGGACCAAATCCTGGGAGAGAGCGCCCACATCCTGCGCTCGATCTATATAATACGAGCCTTGTGACGCTAACACAGTCGTCTCCACGAAACGCTTGACTGCCACACAAGCCTGACATTCTTCTGACTTCGTTACAGTAACTCGGTCGTTTTCCAAGAGAGTTCCAGCAATGAGTCCATGCAGACATGTGTTCAAGGCAGCGGCTTTCCTGCTACTGTTCATTTGTCTTCTTCAGACTGCCCTCTCTCGGTCGGTGACTTCATCCTACTTTCCGCCGGACATCAGAGATGATGCGACTGCCATTAGAAAACTCCTACGATTGTTTGGAATGGAACAACCAGGTCGTCGCGAGCGGCATGCTGCCCCCCCGCAGTTCATGCTTGACCTGTACGATGCCATAGCGGACAGTAGAGGAATAACAAAATCACCAAACCCATATCATGCCAATATAGTCCGCAGTTTCCCTAATAAAGGTAGGACTGTAAATATATATATATATTTTTATGGTAATCTTTTAGTCATAAAATCTCTGTAAAAAATCAGTTAAGTCGAAGACAAAATCCGGTAATATATTATATATACTGTAAAAGAGGTAAAATGGCAGAGTCAGCGTTATGAGGAAGCTGTGTGGTCTAAATGGTAACAGTTTTATCGCTTTAGTTTTATCAATTATCCACAAAGCAATAACCTCTTATTTATATATACATATAATTGTATATATTAGGCTTTAAACTTAACTATCCCTGTTCATCTTTCCAAGTTATACTGATTATTTTAACTATCCCTGTTCATCTTTCCAAGTTATACTGATTATTTTAACTATCCCTGTTCATCTTTCCAAGTTATACTGATTATTTTAACTATCCCTGTTCATCTTTCCAAGTTATACTGATTGTTTTTAACTATCCCTGTTCATCTTTCCAAGCTATTCTGATTATGGTAACTATCCCTGTTCATCTTTTCAAGTTATTCTGATTATGGTAATTTCAGACCTCTTTCATTCACATAATTCTAAATATCACTTCAATTTAATTCTTGTTAATCAGTAAGATACTTCAGTTGTTTTGTCTGAGAGAGAGTAGACTTTAAATTAATCGAAATCACGTGATTCCAGCGAATACACAAAAATACAGCACGTCGTCAACATATGATCAAATGTATGAAATCTAAAACGAAATTTTCATTTTATAGTGCTCCTTATAAAAAATTTCTGCAGGATAATACGCGCGTATAAACTCTTACTGAGGTCTTATAGAATATGAGAAAAAGAATGTTTGTTTACACCACTCATACAAAAATGT